ATGTCGCATTTGTTATTATAGGTTCACTACCTTCTGAAAAGATTTCTGTCGTTAATTTAACAGCTATATATAAATATAATAATTAAGGTAATAGTTTGTTAATAATTTTAATTGTGTTTTTTATTTCTATAATTTTTTTTTTTTTTGTCATTTTATATTCATATATTTTGTAATAGTCTTTAAGAAATTTAGTCTTTTTTAGTGAGCAATAAAAAGTTTTATTTTGCATATTTTTCCCATTTTTTTAAAATTTTTATGTACATATTTAACAGAATCCTGGTTCTTTTTATGATTATTAATTTTATTGTACGCAATGACATACATTTTTAAAATATACGTAATGTAGATGAAATTTAAGATATTACATATTTATACTATGATGTTTATGTATGACCTTTTGAGACAGTAAAAAAAAAGGCTTCTATTTTCAACTTATTTTTAGTAGAAAATTGAACCTAATTTGGAGCTCTTTAAGGTAAAAATTGAAAATGTTTTTAATAATTAGGAAAAACCAAGAAAAATAAGCAATATGTCAAATTTACACCAAACTAGTTTTTCGATAAAACTAATTTCTTTATTTTGTTTTATTTCAAAAATAAATAACCATAGGAACATTCACAAATGCTTAAATTATCGTTTTCTATAAATGGTACAATTTTCAAAAAAATTTTGCCACTTTTTAAGCTATTTATATTTTATAGACAATTAAAATTTTCGATTATTTTTTTACTTTTTAAACAATGCCGAAAAAATGAAGAAGTTATTTTTTTTTTAATTGTTTTAATAAGTTTGATGTCATTTGTAAGTTTTTTCTATACTGTCTTTAATATCAGCTCATACAAGTTGTAATACTTTTAATTAGTTCTTCATGTAATTTAATGATATTGATATTTTCACTGAGTGAATGTTCACATTTTTCCAATTTAGATGTACACGATTAAATGACCTTCAAGATTTAAAATAATTATTTTAGTATCACCAGCTTGAGAACCTCCAAACACATTCATGTCTATAGCATGACTGACACTATATTTTAACATAACATGTATTTATCTAACTATTATGTGTGTTATCAAATTCAAGCCACTCGACAAGAATTTGATTTTGTTTTTTATGTATAATTTTTTCGATTAGGTATTCGTACAGATGATCGGTTTTACATATTTCCGCCGAGTAAAAGCAACCTGCAATCGGTTTACTCATATAATCTTGCAACTTATAAGTGACGAGTAATGTTTTGTTTATTTTGATAATGTCAAATATTTCCGTAGACCAAATTGGTAAATAACCTTTTACAAACATTCATTTTATCTACTGATACGAACGTTATCACTTAATTTGAATTTAATTGTTTTTAATGCTTAATATTTGTCAAAGTGAGTCGTATAAACTATTCTAACGCGTCTCTCCAAGTCTATACTTAGCGTTTGTCCTATTATATTTTGAATTACTTCAGCTGATTTTGGCCATCCAGGTAATCTCTAAAAAAATTTTACATATATTAATTACTTGGTCATGTATTAAAAATAATTCAACTGAGCTTTTTTTATTTTATTTATATCTGTAGTTACGCATAAATTAAGTGTATGATCAAATAACATCTAAAATGTTTATGCAATATATTTTCGATTTCAATTACGACTTATAGAAATTTATAATCTAAGCATTTATAATACTCAAAACATTTATGAGAAAAAAAAAATAAATAATATTTTTTTTTTAAATAAGTAGATGTCGAATTTGTCTCACCATTGAGTAAGTGACTGTAATGTAATGTATGATGTATTAAATTTAAATTCAATGATAAATCGTTGCATATCAAAAACGATACCGAGCAAAGACGGTCTATTAGCTTATATAATAGTATATTTTATGATATATTTATATTGCTATATTTGAGTAATTTATTTTACTTTTAGTAATACGGCAGGTTAAATTATATTTTGCCAAATGCATTGCCTTTGAAAATTTTAAAATATAAATAAAATATTATTATATGCTTTATAACATTCATACAATTTATATTGTTCTTTTTCACAAATTATATTTTTTAAATGTTATTTCTTACAATTTATGTTTATAAGATAATATAAATACACTATAGTTCTAAAGTTTAAGTTAGTTATATAAGTAGGTATCTAAAAGTTAGTTATTTAAAATTGTGTTTAAAAAAAATAATTATTCTGTTATGTCTTTAATAATAAATATTGTTAGCATTTATAAAATATAGGTTTTATGTACATTAATACTTAAAGTATATACAAATAAATATTATACAATTTATACATATAAATATTTTTTATCTTTAAAATCAAAATATATTTATGTGTACCTACGTGAGAATGAAATTATAAAGTAAACACCAAAATAAAAAAAAAATGCATGGTATATATATATATAATCTGTATCATAAAAAAAAAAAATAAGAAGTTTAAACTCACCTCCAACTCTTCCCCTACCTATCATGTGACCCATAAAATATAAACAGTAGGTTTACAAGTAGGTAAGACATTCCTCCAATTATTATGAGCCACTTTTTAGTCACAAATTACCCATTAACAACAAAAAAATGAATCCGTTTAGAGTAAACTTTAAAGTTCATTTGTGAAAAATTTACCTGCAGCTTATTTATTTCTTGTAAAATGATCGTCTAATAATAATTAACAATTTTTTAAAAGTATTACGCACATCAGTATTTCTCAACTGGTGGTTCGCGCAGGTATCCTTGAAAGATATGTAAGAAGGTATGAGGCGATGCGCAAAATAAAAGTGTAATGTTCGAAAAAATTTAATTTGACGTATTTGAAATTATTTTTTATTCATAAAATATTTCATAATTTAATAATTGTTGACACATAAATCAGGTTTTTATAATACATAAGTGTATTATACTATAATATGTAAAATAAAACATTATATATGCGGCGGCCCACAGTATGTCAGTATATACAAGATTTTATCTAATCGGGTAATGGGTAATATAACATTACCCGTCACAACTTCGTCTATGTGCCTATATTGGTCTGTTTGATATCAACATATTATATTTAATCTAATATAAATATTATTTTTTTTAATAGCTTTCAGTACAAAACTATTATAACTTGACAATTACATAATTAATATATTATAGTATTATATCCATAAATCATAATCCATACATACATAATATAGTACACAAAAATACACAATTATTTACAATTTATAAGTGATAAAAAAAAAAAACAATTATTAAATTATAAAAATCTAACAAATAATTAATTAATTATATAGTTATATCACACATGAAATACATAAATATTCAGTTGATTCATATTCGTATTTTTTTTTTAATTTCATAACATTTTCTCAATTTTTGACCACGCATTCTTTTTCAATTAGTAATCAATTGTGTACCTTATTTTAAAATGTTTAATAAATATAGATTTTTTTAAATAATAAACAATTACATTTTTTTTTCAAATTATAATAAATCAGATTTTTTTTAAATCTATGAAGTATTGACAGTTTTAAAAATAATTTTATTTTAACATATATCGTGTCATTAAATTTGAATCATCAAATCGTTTTTGTAAAATATTTACGGCAGATAAATTTGGCGAATTTAGGCTTTCGGAAAAATGTATCATTATTTTTTTGACTTAAAAAGGTTATATCAAAAACAGACAATTTTTTTTGCATTTTGTAGAATAAATTGATTAATTATTCGTCGTAATATTAACGAAAAATATTAAATTCATACATAAAGGGCTATTATGGTACTAAAATATGTACCTACATCTCATTTTCATTATATACTATAGCAGCGGTTCCCAAACTGTGCTCCGTGGAGCCCTTGGGGCTCCGCAATGGTTTCCCAAGGGCTCAGTTCATTATTGTCCGTATGTATACAGTTCGTGTTAATTATGCTTCGTAGAACACAGGCAAATGCAAATTAACGTTAAATATTTCTTGGGACTCTACGAGAAACTTCTCCTTAAAAAAAGGCTCCGAGGCTGAAAAAGTTTGGGAACCACTATACTATAGTATTACTATTTGTTTATTTTGTACATTATTCGACGTGAAAATCCGCATTATTTGCTACCAATTTATATAACCATATGTGGCTTAATACTTTAAATGTCATGTCTAATTTATCTAAATATATATATGTCGACAATTTTCTATAATGCCTTGTGCCACGTGTCGCATACACATACTACATTACACTCGTAAAATAGAACTACGATTCAAAAATATTACAAACACTTAGAAAGTTACAAATAAAAATATGTCAATATAGTTTATGATTCGAAGAATGTTAAGTCCTTACATTGACGCGCCTTTTTTATTTTATATAATATAAAATAATTTTTTTCTACAATCTAAAACAAATATCAAGCTTACGTTTATTTTTAATAGTGTTAAAATCACTTAAAAACAATTTTAATTTCTTTTAAAAATTACGAACATTTGCAAATTATTTTGTGGTTGAATTTGAATATTTCTAAATTATGTTAGATTAAAATTTTAAAATACGATTTACGATTAGTTATTATAAATTGTAAACATTCAAATATTCATCAATAATACATTTATTATAATAATATAATCCACAGAATTATGTAGGTATAATATTTATAGACACTTAAATAATATCAAAATTATTATCTTATCGGAGTTATCGTATAGATTCCGATTAGCGGCTAATCAATAGCCGATTCCGAAATGTTATGCATACTGTGTAGTCGTTTTAAAAAATTGATTGGGGGGGGGGGGGGTGTGAGATTTTTAAAATCTAAAAGGGGCGTTGAGTAAAAAAAGGTTGGGAAACACTGATATACAGTATTGAGTATAGGTAGGTACACTATACTTAAATACTTTACCAACAACGAAAAAAAAATAACGAAATTATGGGTGTCGTATACAGTATAATATCAATCAAAATAGACGGTCGATCGTTCACAGTCAGTAAGTTAGTTGTGTGTGGACTGTGGACATAAATCATAAATTCCTACATAATATTGTCATTTGTTAATTTGTTATTATCTCGACCGGACAACGGAGAAAAAACCGATTACGTTATGTTATAATCGTTTAATTTCGCATGAACGATAATAAAATGGTAAAATAATTTCTATTTTTATAACACTATCATTAATGACCATGTTAAAAATTTCATTCATTCTGTTCTGTTCGGCCGTTGGAGAAGTTTATGCGAAAGATCAAAAACTTAAAAACTATTCATTGAACTCCATAGGTAGGTAAGTAGGTACCTATTTAGATGAAATTAGTTAGAGATTATTACATTAAAAATCGTTTATTAACTATTAAGGAGGTTCAAAAATGTATTGTGAGTGTGCGTGCGGGAACAAGGACGTTATGTACAATATAAACATTAAACACTTATGTATATTAAAAAGAATTATAAATGCTTAATAGAATAGAATATAATACAATTTTTAATTTACTTATTTTTTTTCTTTATTTATCTATCATATTATAATATTCTATATTAATAATATTTAACTGCCATGAGTTATGTAAACCTTTATAGTTAATTTTTATTTTACCTACTAATATTTACATAACATATTAATATATTATAGTAAATAAGTTGATATATTTATTTATAAATCATTTTATTTCCGCTCAATTCAACAAAGTTTTGTAATGATTAAATTATCTTATACTAAAATCAAATTTTAAATTATAATCTTTAACTGTTGTTATCCTTATCTATTTTAATCATTATTTATTACATGTTTTTACATGATTCACAATATTATCACATTGAACAAAACTTAAGAGATTATAGATGTAGAATATAGATTAATTAAGTAGTTGTAAACACAAAATAAAATTATAATTCGTTATAAATTTGTATTCATCGTTATTACCATAGTAACGCATAGATCGTTTTTATTGTTTTTTACTCAGTGGATCAACTATCAAGTATTTCGAAGTGTTAAAATTAATTTTATCACTTATTCTGAGATGTCATGAAAATTGAAGAACAATATAACATCATACGATCAACAAAGTAAAATTGAAATATTTAACTATTCACTAAAGATAATTATTTTTAAGTAAAAAGGTATTGGAAAGAATTATTTTCGAGTTTTTTGTGACTTGTGCTTTTGTCAGTTGTTACCTCACAATAATTTGAATATATTATTTATTGTTCATGAAATGAAAATGGTTAAAATCCCCAACTAGTAATGTAAACTGGCCAAGTGGATATTATTTCAGCCATCATAATTTCATTTTTTTTGTTGTATAGGTGTATTTATTATTAAAATTTGTGAAGTATTGTTTTGTGATTTCTCAACTTAAAAAATTCTCTTGTGTAAATCTATGATGATAATTATAATTGTGAAAATAAAATTTATTTAGGTAAAGTCAAAATTTACACTATGCATTATTGTAGTAAACCCAAATCACATGTAATTATTTTAGTCGTTATAAAATAATATAATAAATAATACATGAAGTATAATTTATGCTGACAATTAATGTAGGTATTAATAGTTATTTATGGTGAATAGGTAAAGCCTAGATCAAAGGTAGAGTATAGCTATAAGTATAGCCTAGATCACTATATGCATACAAATGCATAGGAGATATGAACAAGATGTAAAATTAGAATATAGAATAATCATGCCACCATAAGTCATTGACAGGACCTATAAATACGGGTAGAGCACTTAATATTAGTAGAGAAGGTAGTTAACTGTAGACTTGTGCACAACCAGCTTACTACAGTAAATTTTAGATTCTATTTTAATTGTTTTAAAATTGTACAAATAAAATATACATTTTATTTGTAGCTTGTAAAGTAAAGTGTTCTATTATTTTCAATATACCTACTTTCCTTAATACGTCTTAAGATTACGTTAAACGTGCTACGTCGTTTACATAATAATTGTGGTACCGAACGCCGTGTCCTGCACAGTGATCACTACATTATTGTTTATTCTTATTTCATATTGTAATAGGTTAAACTTCTGCTTTTCTTCCAATGAAGCTTATCTGTATAATTTTAGTAATTAATTAGTTGATAGTATGGTATATCTGATATTCTGTATAATATGTGTTTGTAATATGTGTATTTTTTTTTCTCTGTTGTTTTTTTTTTTCACTGTTGTTGATTTTTTACAACTGATTATTTAATTGTTTATTTGATTATTTTGAATACAGTAAATACCTAATAATATATAGTTATACAATGTTTTTAAACACCAGTATAAGTAATATTCATAATTTTTAGAATGCCAAAAACGAAGAAAAAAGCCATTAATGATAAAAAACAATGCCCATCAAAAAGAACTGTGTCTAAAAGACAGAGTAGATCTGCATTTAAATTTGATATAAAAAAAATTCTGAAAGAGAGGCGCTCTGAAGGAAAACTTTTGAAACAAAGTGCTAAACTTGATGAAGAAATGAAAATTATTGACGACTTGTATCAAGAAAAAGTAAATCAGACTATTGACTTTGAAGACAACGATAAACTTCCTCTCGTTTTAAAAAATTTGGATCGTGTTATTATTGACCACTCTAATTATAATATACCCTTTAAAGATAATTTAGATGTTGATTCAACAAAATTGTGTATACAACGCTTACGTATCATGTCAATTGAGGAAAATGAAGTTGAAGCCAATATTCATTTTAATCATTTGATGAAAGCAAATTGGTCTCCAGAATTTGGTGTATGTTTTATAAACAATAAATTTAATTCAAATTACCTATTTAATAAATAATCATGACAATCAATTTTTTGCCTAAGGTTTATTAAAAATAGAATTAAATATTTTTCAGGATGTTCTTAATATTTTATATCAATGGAGAGCTGATTTGGATACTCCAACTACTGATCCATCATTAGAATATCAAAACATTGGGCGGCATAATTTTGAATTAGTAATAAATTTCATATCTTACAATATACTGAAAAATAATGAAAAATTTAGTGTTGCTGAGCTGTTAACAATAGCTAAATATATTGTTAAAATATCTTTTGATCGTCTGTGTGGACAAATGATAAATGTGATTAAAAGATTATTTAGTACTTGTATTGAAACAGCTTTAAAAGAAGACAACAATACCACTATTATGGCATTCGCTCAAGAATTGTATTCTAAATACAATGAAGATGATTTATTAGATATGATAGTGAATTTATTTCTACCTTTGGAAGGACAAATAATGAAAAAAATTTATATTTACTTAACATACAAACTATACAAGTCACTTTTAGGAAAGAATGATACATGTGCATTTCCGTCTAGCATCAAAGAATGGTATGTAATATGTATTATTTATGATACCACCCTATAATAAAAAATTTATTCTTTATTCAGCTAGTATCTATAAAAATAATTGCTCTTAAAAACATATTTGTATATTATTAACAAGCATCTAATAAAACATTGTTGCAATAAAAATTGCTAACTAAAATAATAAACTTGAAATCTATCGTTTATATTTAGATATACATGTATGTATTTAGAAAAGGTACTCATAATCTCATTATTTCATTCAAGTTCATAAAATACATATTTTGTGTCAAAAAATAGGTAAAAAAGTAATGAAGTTGAACTTTGTTTTATTTTTTTTATTTTTATGATTGATATAAAATTTATTATTATAGAGTATTTATCTTAAATACAATTTTATTCAGGTTTGTACAAGATTTTGTGGATAAGAATTATTTCAATAAAAATCCCAAAAAAGTATTATTCAGTGTTATTCAGTTGTTAGAACATGTTGTGGTTATACTTGATTTATATGAAGAAGAAGAAAAACTGCATAAAATGTATAATTTTCTGAACGCAGCGCTCAAACCTACTGGATTGTCAAATTCTCTAAAATTTATTAATATTTTGGACCAATGGAGGTTACGATTATTTCGTTTACATGTCAATCGCAAAACTAGTTGTAAATAATGATACTACTGATAAAGTATTAATCTATAAGTAAATCTTAAGTATTGTTAATCTTCTATCAAATTTATTTTTTGTATTCTACATATATGTTATTAAAATATTGGTATATTAATTTTTAATGTTACTTTGATTTAAATCCTATTTATATTATAATTGGTATCAGGTAATCGTAAATAATCTTCACACTGTATTATTCAACTCGCAATGCTTTAAATGAAAATCAAAAAAAAAAAAAATGTTCTCATTTATCAGATTCATTTTTATATCAACATGGAATAATTTGTTGAAAGGTTGAGAATCATTGATTTAATTGGTTGTATAAAATCAGAATAATAATATTATTAAGTTGTGGTAAAAATAATTTGATAGTTTTCTTTAAGGTATGAAAAATTATTTTCACCAATCAGTAAACAGATTCAAAAACTTAAGTATAAACATACACTACTATAACATTGGATAATTAAAATTAACTCAACTAATTAAAGTTATATTTCATTTTAGTTAATTGGCTATTTAAATTACTTCTTGGTGCCAATTTATTTTTTCTATACCAACATCTTAGTAAATTTTGTAACATATACATATTAAAAAATATAGCAATCAATTAGTAATATTTAGTATAATATATTTGTTATTTATATGAAACGTTTACAACTCAATTTAGTCATATCTTATACCAGTCATACCTCAATTTTACAAATGTCATTGGCACCAAGCATATTTTGCAATTTCACACACTACATTGTATTTTTTAGTATTAACTTTAGAATTATTATAATTTATCAAATTTACAGTGTAAAAAGACTAAAGGATACAATTTTATTAATTGTCAATTATGTATTTAACCAAACAAATCATTCAGTTACAGTGAAATAAAATCATACAATCTTTTTTTCTGTTTATCCATCTTAGTGGCCCTGTGGTCAATCCAAGTGGGAACATACTAGTATTTGTAGTTTTGTTCGATTTCTTATTAATAGTTATCACATTTTTCATGAATATATAATAAATATTAATAGTATAAACATGAAATTTTATAACATAGCAAATAATAAAAAAAAAATTAACACAATGAAAAGTTAATATTTCAATTTAAAATATAAATGCAAATCATTTTATTTCTCTTAATTATTTTATTTTTATAAAAAGAAAATTATTAAGATATGTTAAAAACAAGTTAAGGAAAATTTTTTTAATACTTAAGATTATAAAAATTTCACTAGTTGTAGTCTTAAAAATATAAACAGTAATTAAAATAAAGAAAACTAAATAACATTCAGTCACTTGATGACTCAGAATCCTTAAATTTTGATACTGTAAACACAAGACAATATATGTTAATTGAATCCTTGTATTCATATTTAACTGCATGTTAATTTACTCACAGTCATTTATAACTCTTCTGCTATTGTTTGACTTTGTATTTGTTCGTTTTGGTATAGCACCACTAGATGGGTTTAGGTGTACATGAGAATTATTAATCGGGGAAGTCTGCTCTGAATGATTTAATCTTGAACTTTAAAAAAAATATTTAAAAGATAAATAAATAAAATGTATTTATATTTATACTCTATTTTCATGTTAAGAAATACCATTAAATATTTCAGTTAGTTGACCTTATATTAAAATAGGGTTTTTAAAGAATAAAAAAGAATACCAAAATACACATTTTCAGACAAATTTAAATTTTAACCCGGTACATACATGCACCATACAACTTTCTTTCTTTTAAATAGTGACATCATTTTTTTCTACAGATTTAGGAAAAATATTTTTATTTTTTTTTAAAACAATTTTTGCACAAAAAGTTGTTTTTTAATCAAAAAATTTGTTTTCATAATTTTGAATTGTTGAATTGAAATAGTAAAATATTGAAGACAATGAAAATAATACAAATATAGACACTGAATTTAAAATCAAAATTTATTTATTTGTAATTATTAATTTAACTATCTAATAAATTGCTTAAAGTTTTTGCCTTGATATTCAAAATGTTTTAAAAATTCTATTGATATGGCAATATAATAACTGTGTTACATAACGCTACTTACAACTAACCGCTGACTGATACAATAACATATTCACACACAATTAAAAATTAATATTTTACCAATACATATCATGTAAAAACAATAGTTTGCTGTACACATTAGACATCATCACATTACTGACTACTTAACTCTGTAAGACTACGATATAGCCTTCTATTATCGTAAAACTTTAAATTACATATAAGTATTTAGTAGAAAATATAATTGTAATAACTGGTACTGAATCCTGGTTATATTAATATATTTAAGATCCTATATTTTTATCTATCCCCATCTATAGTAAATATATACACAACTCCCAAAGTATCTTATATTAGTTATATTTAACTGGTCATTTCTTCAACTATGTTACAGTAGCATTTAGTCTTCTCTTAAATTATTAAGACAAGTTTTGATTTATGTCTTATCTGTTTACAGACAATTCAACGATATCAAAAATAGTATTTCAAATTTTGAGTATAAGTTGATCATAGTTAAAATGTTGTTAAAAACAGATAATTTGTTAATATCAAAATTGATAAAATAATAAATATAAATAATTTGCCAATTTTGTACTTAATTAGTAAAACATTTTTTATATAAAATTTATTGAAGAAAAAATACTAATACCAAATCTAAGAAAATGATATTGCCATTTAAAAAAAAGTAAGTTATAATACATGTATGTGTGCCAAGAGTTAAAAATTTGAAACTTTTTATTATGGTACTCTTTTATTCCCTGAAAACCCCTTTCAATACAAGGTCATCCAACTGAAATATTTAATGGCATCTATTAACATAAACACACTGAATTTATAATTAACATAATTTAAACTATATTAGCATTCATACAAATATTAAAAATTATTAATTAATTTGTTCAATGGTGTTATTATATTCTTAAGTTAGCTATTACATTTCTTTTAAATAATTAACCTATTAAATACAAATAATACAAAAAATGTAAATTTCATCTCTTTTTTATAATCAAATTTATAAAAAGCTTTAACATATTTAGCATAAAAAATAACATTTGTCAAATGAATGCATTTTAGTATAATTCAAAAAGTCAATAAATTATTTCTGTAACTCATTTATAATAATAATTATGTCATAATTAATAGACAGATTATTGTTAACAACTCATAATCAAACAAAGTTAAATGATTATTTCTTTAACAAATTAGCTGTTTACTATAAATGAGTATATTTGTTATGACACTGAACAATTAGAGTTTTAAAAATGAAAATATCAATGAACAACTTCCATGTACATGAAATAATACTTATAAGAGATACTATTGATCAAAATATAGTGAATTTAATAATAAGAAAGATGATTCCATTAGGCATCATCTACAGTGAATATGTTGCATCAATTATAACAACTTACTTGGATATAAACTGTACATAATTGTTCCGAGCAGAGTTATTTCCATAACGATAATCCATAGGTATGTTTGGTCTACTTGGATTTTGTCTATTTAGTTTAACGCGTGGTAACATCTGTCTCATTTGTGAATCATATGTTGATGATGCCGAAGATTGAGCATTGGCATTAGAGTTTCTTAACATCAATGTTCTATTAGATAGATTAGCTGGAGCTGAAATAGAGTTAAAATTAAGAACTCTGATACTGGGTATGGAAATATGTATACATATTAAAATTTTACAAGTCTTATATCTATAATATTAAAAATTTTCAGGTAACATATCAGTCATATCTGGTAAATAAATCTTTTAGACTTATATTATGTATTAGTTGGTTTTTGGTATGGTCTACAGTCTATACTACAGTAACATCTTAAGATACATTTTTAAATGATAGAGTTCCTGGATCATTTAAACCAACATTATTATAGTCTATCAACTAACCATTTTGTACATATAGACTGAGCTATGAACCTGTGTCAGGTCAAATATGGACTGGATACTCAGCACAAAAATGTACAAGAATATCCTATTGAGATACAGTACATTTTTTCATGAGACAGACTATATGTAACATTGGATTTTGAATATCAATAATAAGTACAAGAGTTCAGGAATGATATGATATACATACAGTAAAAAATTATGTTAAAAATGTATTCTGTGTTTTATATGTTAATTTAGCAATTGTAAACAGCAGTCATATGGCATCTATTATTTAAAATTAATAAATAAAAATAATTTGATTATGAACTGACATTCAAATTATTGTAAAAATGGAACTCTTAATATTTAGAAAAGAAAGTCATCTTTAAAGTTTATATTGCAAGTTTATTTTATTATATTCTAATAAATATTAATAAACAGATAAATCCTTTATGATAAGGGTTATAAGGAAATAAATTGTACTATACCAAAACAAATCAATGAAGTGCAATAATATATTACCATTATTACCAGATGTTGGTTTCAATAGATTACGCTGAGTTTCAAGTAAGTTTACAGATTTTGGGAACTTTGAATTCATATTAATAGGTTGTTGTGGGTAGATATCTTTATCAAGATTATTTACCACAGGTAAATCCAATAGTAGTTTTCCACATCTCAACTGAAAAAAACCATTCAATTAATTATGTTTTTCTACAAATTGAGTTTATTAAATTAAAAATGTTAATATAAGTGCTAAAAAATATTTAATTACTCCAATGTTTCAATTTAAATATTATTATGACAACAAAATGATTACTTGATGGTTTAACAACTTCTTAATGGATATTAATTTTTCACAAAATTCGCAAGGCAATTTTTCAACATTAATTTTTTCACTACTGTCTTCATCTTCTGAACTTAAACTTAATGTGTTCAGATTAAGTTCACTATCACCACTGCTGCTAGAGGTATCCAAGTCATTAGGTAGTATTGGAAACATAGCGTTCTGGCCGTTGGTATTTTTATTATTTGTTTGCAAAACATTATGAAATGTGGCCAAATCAGGACGACATCCAGTCTATAAAATATCAGTTGAAAAATAATTACTTACTATATAAAGAACATTATAATGTAACTTACTTCATGCAAAACAAGATTTTCAGAATCAATCATTTCTAGACAAAACTCACAAGGTAGTTTTACACTATTAAATGTATCAGAAAAATTATTGTGTTCATTTGTTAAATGATTATTGATATTTGTAGAATGGTTATTAGGAATTGAATAAGCACCAAGTATGGGAAATTCATCATCATCATCATCATCTAGATCTAATAAAAGAAAATGGTTTAAATTCTAATAATTCAAATCAACAAACCAGATTTTTACATAATATGAAACGACAAAGATATAATACTGTATTAATTATCAAAAATTAACAATTCTAGCTTAAAAAAAGAAAACCTTGAAATCAGAATTATGAAACTTCTTTAAATAAATAAAATGAATTCTTTGAAAAAAAAAATTATATGCTAGAAAAAACATAGTAATTAAAATATTACATTATATTTTGTAATAATTAAATAAATAATTACCACTTGGTGTATCTACTATTGGCATATTTTTTTTTGGATCTTTGTGCGTATTATCATTATTGCTGTCAGTATTAATTTGAGGTTGATCATTGTTGCGTTTGACTGGTGGTATAACCCTGTGATTAGTCATAGTTGGTTCGTGTAGTCTCAATGTGGGCATGCTAGTACTTGTTGTTGGTCTTGCAGTTACCGCAATGTTTGGCACTTTTTTTATTAATGGTGGATATGCTGCCAAACTGGCTGGACTATCATCTAATACTGATTTTGCAGCTATAGTTAAAGTTAAAGTAAATATAAAATTCAAATATACAATATCACAAAATTTTTCTTACTATTTAGTAATTCTTTGCGTTCATGGGATTCCTGATGCAAAGCCAAATATTTCAACATGATAAACTGTCCACAGATTTTACAGCGTTCTGTACGGCTGCTGCACATATCTGTATGTGCAGGTAATGAGAAAGCTTCTAAGTCAATCTCACAATATTTACATGTTTGCATACGATGACAACAATCGTTTAACTAAATAATGTAACATATGTTAATACCAGAACTTAAAAAACATAAAAAGAACATACTCTATGTGATTCTAAATCTATTGCTTCAAGTTTTTCAGAACAAGCATTACATAAAATAACCGTATGCATAGTTTTTTGATGCTCTTCATACTCTGAAGTTAAGAATGGTTCATCACACTTTGTGCAAAGCTTCAAATTACGGTGACAGTATGCAGTATGCATTACATGGTTAACAAGTGGAATATTCCTTCGGCTAAAACAATAATAATATATTTAATGATCAAAAAATATATGATTTGATAATTAAGAAGAAGCCATACAGGTATGAACCTGTATGTGTTATCTTTGTCTTCCAAGTACGTCGCATAGTAAATTTACGCTCAGCAGATCACTTTTAGCTTTATTAGTTTAAAAATCAAAATGAATCGGCCTATTATCAAACTTAATGGTAAGAACATTATCTGTGTTCGTGTATTGGTTTTTTACAATTATTCAGTTTTTAAGTGAGTTATAAGCAAATTTAATTTGTGCTTTACTGTACACGCATAAGAAGCTAAAAAATTGAACAATCATAAAAAACTAATTTTTAGACTAATGGAGTTAAACCTAATCTTCAGAATGTAAATTTGCTATGTTACATACTTGTAAGATGGAGACAACCTATATGGCGTCCTCTTAAGAATGTGATACTAACAAACATCAAATTAGTATACATAATTAAATACATCCATGTAAATTGAGTGTATAAAAATTTAAATGTATTTTTGAAACTATCAAAAATCTGTAAAAAGGTTAATAATCTATGATGTAAACAAAATTATTAAAAAGTTACTTTTATTGTACTCTTTAAAAATTATTCTACAATTCATCCAACATGTTTTATCCAATATAAACATTTAATAAATAGGCACAAATAAAAACAAGAATTTTACATGCAACTAAAAAATTAACTATCAATAAAATTGATGTACATGACCAGAGAATATATAATTTTCTAATTTATCTCTAAAGATAGTGCCAAAATAAATCTATCTCCATACAGTTTGCTGAATAGAACATTGATATATTTTCTTTGGAATAATTTTGTGTGATGTGATATGACATAAAAGAAAATCTTGATTATTAGAATAAATATATTAATAATACCAATTACCGTACAAATTAATTATTAGTGTGAGTAGGAGATGAAGAAAATGAACAAAATAAAGACATAAAAATATTTTAAAATGCATTGCGTGCAAAAAGTACAGGATTGTGAATATTGTCTTTAAAGTTATCTAGTAAAAATAATACGTGAAAATATATAAAATGTTATAATAAAAGCATGATGTATTTTTGTTAAATAATATGTGGAATACTATGTAATTATGAGATAACCATGGATCAAATATCTAACTTTATAGTGATTATTGAACAAGATGGAGATTACTTAGACAATCCAAAAAATTATTATTGTAATAATTTAAGCTAGTCGAGTCAATTAAGTCTTAATGTCAGTAGGAGTACCAACAAAATAATTAAATACATTAAATATAAATACTAATTTTGAGGCAAATTATTAACATTATTTTCAGCTCTCTACGATACATAACCTTATCTAAATACAAATTACAAATTTTTATTATGATGTAAATTACAAATTTCCAATCAAACAACAGTTTTTATTTAAATTTTCATCTTACGATATAAATCTAATTATCCTTTTATTGTTGAACAAAATTTATATTATTTTTATTTTTTTAATTAACTGTTATAGTTTAGACATCAAGAGTTAATAGCCTATTTTTAACTTAAATTTTCTTATTGATATAATATTTACTTTATTATAATTTTTATCAAATAACCATAAACATTCAATGATTCTAAATTTAATACAGTATAATGAAAAAACATATATAATCTTAGTAAACATTAGGAGGTGTAAGTTCACAATCGTAGTCTATCACAATTATAAAATAAATATGAAATGGATTATCTAAAATATTCATTTAAAGTACTTGAGCACTTTTAATCTTTAATGCACAAATGAATAGTACTTAAATTCAGTAACTTGCATGTCCTATTAAATCTTGAAATATTTTTAAACATTTTATCAAAATCACACATATTATGCAGTTTATAAGACATAAAATCAATAATAAGTACATAACTAGATTATCATAATTAGTAACACCAACATACTAAAAATTGTTTCTTATATTATTAATTTTATAATTTCCTTCTAAACCTACTTTTTTTTTTTTTAATTCTTCTACAATACTTTTATAGTTATTTTTAATAATGTAAGTAATCTGTTTATTTTTTTTTTTTTTTAATTTGTAGTGGGAAAGAAAAATCTAATTGTAACACCTATCAACTTATTTCTTTAATAGAATATTACAAATTAAATTTTATTGTAACTAGTGGCAATAGTGCATAATAGGTAAATTATTTTATTATTATAATTAAAATTTATATACATTCTTTTTAATTTATATTCTTACCAGATTCTTTAATATTTAATAGTGGTACATTTTACAAATTTAATTCTACCTTTTTGCTCATAAAATTAAGTCAGATATGCTACTTCGATAAATGAATATAACAAAATTTCCCACATAACCAATTAAAAGCTCGATAATGGTTAGTAATCAATGATAATATTCAATTGGATTATTTTCGGATTAATATAAACTCTTAAAGCGTCAATAATTTTAAATATACTTATATTTAGCTTAGGTATTTGCATATTTTATTAAAAACCAATGATATAGGTATCAATATAACATAATAATAAAAAAAAAAAACAAATTTGTAACAATCCTTAAAATTTTAAATATATATGTAGTATGAGTCTGAAATATGCGTAGCAATAAATATTGATAAATTTACACAAGTTAAAGTTAAAACTTTTAAATTGTAAATTAAGATTAGAATAAAACATTTTTAATTAATTTCAGTATGATTATCACATATTTAAAGTGTATGGAAATATTGTGTATACATTAACAGAATGATTATGGATAAAAAAATCATACTATGACTTTAAAAGCCATATTCAAAATTGCATTAGGTGACATATGTTAATATTAAATTATAACAGAATCAATCTATATTTATTATGAAATTTCAGGTTTTATGCATGTAAACACATACTATAAAGCTGATAATTAAAACGGTCGATTAGACAGGTATTGTATACTGAAGCTTACCAGTTGAAACAATATTTAGTATCTTCTTCGGTTATGTCTGGGTTCATTTTGAAGTAGTCCTAATTCAGTCTTACCGACCGATTTCGCTGTAGATGTATCAACGACAATTTAATCGATTTTAATTGAAATAATGAATTATTTAAGTGCGCATAACATACAAACGAGCATTTTTTTACCACAGATCACATTTCAGTAGTTAAGTCACTATACAGTTTGCCTATAGTTATATACATACATTACATTTTTGATAAGGAACAAGTGGACATTATTTCAACAGATAAGAATAAATAAAACAACGCCGTCTGGCATACAAGTTTAACCGGTAAACGGTTAGCTCGTTGTAATGTAAACACAAGACAATATTATTATGGAATGACTATATCACTTTTTTTCTTTAATATATTTTATGAGCCTATTAATAGGTACAAACATAGACTGAGCCAAATGTCAATGATTATTGATTTAGTAGCTTGCGGATGTCAAATTTTATCATGATACAGATTCACACATATTCCTATTAATTTAATGTTATTGACTAATCATAATGTAAAAATGTAAAATTAATGTTTCCATGAGATTTCCGTTGAACCAGAGCGGCCTATGCCCTATTGAGAATTGAGATTATCATATAATAAAAAACCCGTAATTCTTACAGTTGTGACTTGTGCTATAATAGGTCTATGGGAATTCTGTTGTCATAATACATAATATATATTCAAATACTTAAATACTTTAATGAGTTTAATGTATTTCAAGATCTAATAATAGTAATAATACATATTACAAATACTATCAAATAACCAATATATTAACAATAATATCAGTGAAAGAACTAAAAAGACATATCCACGTGTATTGTATGTATCACAATACATATAAATTACATACTGTACATACAAAAAAATCCATGTTATAGGTACCATTATTTTTAAAATTAGAATGAATTGACTTAAAATCAAATTTAAAGTTAAGAATATTGAAAAAGACGTAGTGCAGTCATTTTATAATATATTAATTTTGAAGCAAATTTTAAGGATTATAATTTTTAAATGTTTATAGGTACTTAATTTTACCCTTTTTTTTATATAATAGTTTCGAATCTCCTTCCTTTCATCTGCCTCAGAAGGAACGTTCCTGGACTAAACCTAACTTAACCTAAGCTATGAGTTTTGCATCTTTGTGGACCGGCAAGCGTAAGATGTAGAGGTTCCACAACGTTGGCTCAAGGACAGACCCTTGAGGAACACTACAGGTGACCGGTATTGTTGAACCTCCCGTGGTACGGTCGTCGTCGAGCAGCAGCTTACGTTTCTTCATATAAGATCTGAGGATGTTGATCAGATAGCCCGGTACGGACGACCTCTGCAGGCCGCAGGGTACCATCGATGAGCTCCCAAGGCATTGTGTTGAACGCGTTGTTGACGTCGATCGTTACCACTGCGCAGAGTCTCCTGTGCTGGACCACACCTCTACCGGCTGCGCGCTCCGTTTCCAGAACCTCTTGGATAGCGTTAATAGTTGACTTGAAACACCTGAAGCTGAACTGGAGGCTGCTGAGGTTCTTTTCGGCATACGGCTCGAGCCGGTTCAGAAGAAGTCTTTCCAAGAGCTTGCTGGCGCCGTCAAGCAGGCTGATGGGTCGGTAGCTCGAAGGTTGAACTGGCAGCTTATCTGCACCCTTGTGTAGCAAAACCAGCTTGACGCGCTTCCATCTGACCGGGAACTCTCTCCTGACCAAGCAGGCGTCAAAAGCCTCAAGGAAAATCCCCGGGCTACGCCTCACTGCGAGTTTGATAATCTCATTGGGGATATGATCAGGACCCGGTGCCTTGTCAAGTGGCAATTTTTCCACTGTCCTCGATAGCTCGTCTGCGGTGAAAAGCAGCGTCGAGTCTTCAGGCCATGCGTCCAGTTCGGTGGAAAATCTTGGCTCCAGAGGAACTTAGTCTCAGTCGACTGTTGGAAGAGTGGGAAAGAGGCCTCTCGCGATATGGTACACTGACTGGTCGTCCATAACAGGAGGTCGCCAGCCTAGCCGTTTGGTGACCAGCCTGTACGGTACACCCCAGATGTCGTTGTCCACAGCGTTAGGTACAACACAACCATAATTATTCAAAGATTGTCAATCACTAATCAGAGGCTTCGTTTCAAAATAATTGAGTGTGAAATAATATAAAATAATTTAATATATTATATCAGGGCCAATGATCATTTGGCATTTCGCTTGCAAAATACTCAGATTAAAAATTATTAGCTTAAATAGATCATCGCGAAATATATCTGCTTTTTTTTATATACAAAATTAAGATCACTATTGTAGTTTAATTGCCTCGTGATTTTTGTAATTTTTTTCACCTGAAATCTTAGTAAATTGATATTTAAAAAAATATGGTACTATCAAATATTTATATAAAACATTAATTGACCTAGCTTGTTAAAGTTTGACAAGTATAGTCGCTCATCCCTAAGCCTATACCAACTCTGGTAAAATTTATTTACAAAACTAGCAACTACACAAATATCATATAATACTCATATTATATGTTAATTTGAAAAAAAAATATAAAATGTTTTATTTAGTTCACTAAACTTATTATTTTTTTTAATAAAAATAGGGCATTATACTCGTACTACGAAATTTTTGATTTTATAAAATCAGCATTCCTTTTGATTAACACCAACCACTCCAGATACTACTGAAACAAATTGTAATTTGTAAATATAATTCTTTCAACTGAATGACGGATGTGTGTACAGAGAAAATGGAAAATGTTAACATTATCAGTGATTATGACTTTTTGGATAATAGCAATAATTTAATGTAAACGAATAATTTTCAATAAGAAAAATCATAAATAAAAATGTACTATAGTTATGTACTTCGCCTGTTTCAAACAATTTTTGTCAAGTTTAGGTAATATTGCTTATATTGCATATTTAACCTAAATATCATAAAAATGATTTTTATATTTTAATTTTACAAAATTTAGATATTTATTTTTAAATAATAAAATAAGTTATTCTGTATTTTTTGATAAGTAAATAATTAATTTTAAAATGTATTTACCAGTGAATTGTGAAAATTAAATTAGGTACTAAAATATAATCTTTTAAAATTTCCAGAAAGCCGATTTTGATGAACTAATTGAAAAATTGTTAAAAACCGATGACAAAACTTTAAAATCTGACATTGAAGTGTTTTGTAAAACTACTTATGTTCCAATTTATCCATCACAAGATCCTGCCTTATGGGAAATAAATTCTGATATGATTGAATATTTTATTCGTAACCCAGTCGTATCAAATCCTAAAATAATTAATTTTGATAATACTATTCGTAAATGTGGCGAATTCAATAGAAAGTTATCACATGATGTTTTCAAAAGAAAACTTTTGAATGGCGAAATAAAAGATAGACAATAGTTACTATACTCAACATCAAAAAAATGCACTTTTTTGTTTTTACTGCCTTCTATTTTCTAATAAAAAACACAGTTTAGTTCTACCGATTTAGGATTTATTGATTGGAAAAAAATATTTAGAAAAAGTTGAAAAACACGATAAGAATTTGACGCATACTGAATCTATTCGCATATGGTTTTCTAGACGTAAAATAACTACAGGTATTGATGTTGAGTTAAAAATAGAACTTGAAAAAAGAGAATTTTATTGGAAAAGTATAATTCATCGTTTAATTGAAACAATTATATTTTTATCAGGCAGAGGTCTTGCATTTCGTGGCGATAATGAGACGTTGGGTTCTAAAAATAATGGCAATTATCTGAGTTGTTTAGAATTAATTGCGAAATTCGATCCACTTATGTTCAAACATCTTGACGAGTGCGGTATAAAGGCCGTGGAAATGTTTCGTATCTGTCCCATCATACTATTTGCGATGAGTTAATAATACTTGTGAATAAATCTGTACTTCGTAAGATTGTTAATGAAGTAACGGCAGCTAAATATTTCTCATTAATCATAGATTCTACTCCCGATATCACAAAATTTAACCAATTAACAATTGCCATTAGATACATTAATATTTAGACGGGACTGCAGTAGAAAGATTTTTATGTTTTATTCCATCGGTTGGACATAAAAGTAAAGAAATAGAAGTCGCAATGTTAACGAAATTAACTGAATTAAATATCAACATAAATTATTGTCGTGGACAATCCTACGACAATGCCAGAAATAAGTCAGGTATGTATAATGGTTTACAAGCTCGAATCAAAGAAAAATCAAAAAACGCAATTTTTAGTCCATGCTTAGCACATACCTTAAATTTGATTGGTTGTCATGCTGCTGATGTAACTAAGGAAGATTATAACTTTTTTCACTAGCCCAAAACGTCTATGTATTCTTATCTGCATCGACATGGCGGTAGAAACAACTTTTAATAAATTTGAAAAATATACCACACTCAATGTTTATAAAACACTTATGCCCGTCGAGATGGTCATCAAGATTTAGTGTTTGTAAGAGTTTGAAAATTGGGTTTAAAAGAGTGTTAAATTCATTGAAATCTATAGCCTCGAATTTGGATCAGAAAGTTGGTATAAGACATGAAGCAGAATCCATGTATAAAAAAATTAACACGCTTGAGTTCTCATTTATGATAGCTCTGTGCCTCTGTTACTCCAATATTAGAAAGATTCGACGCGACAAATAAGACTTTACAACGTATTGATATTGATTTATCTTACATTACTAGGTATTTACATACTTTTTTCTAGAATTAAAAGTGTCAAAAACAAATTTTAACAATTTAGTGCCATCGTATTAATTTTAAAAATAAAAATATATTTACTTAGATAGTAGATACCCCAATAATTACCTGTACGAGGTACGACTGTACAAACAGTATCAAGTATTTGAATATCTTTCTTATTTAACTGTATATCGTATACATATGCGGGAAAATGGATTTTAAGCTAAATAAACTATCTGCATTTTATTTGTATTGTAAATACTAATTTAAACACCATTTACATAATAATATATGCATAATGCCAATGCATATGCTAAACCATCTCAATATTTTATGGTGGAATAATAATATAGAAACTCCATTATCACGCATTAATCCTGCTAAATATGCATAAATATATAATGTACATAATAGCGGCCAATGACCATGTTTATGGTGAATGTCAACTTATTTAAAAAGGTATACATTATATACATTGTATTTTTAAAATGTATTAAAATATTAATGTTTATATTGTTTATATTAATAATTTTATTACTGAAAGAATATTTAAATTATATCTACATTATTCGAATGTTTCTAATCTCTTTGAAGATATACCGCATTCCTGCGACATCATTTAAAACGTCTAATATAACAGGTTCATTACTTTTTAATAATATGTATTCAAGTTTTTTTCTCCTACTCAGATTGGATTTTAAAAGTGTTTTCCACTAAACCATGTCATGTTCCGTACATTCAACATTACAGTCATTACACTTACAGTCTAAGACGATGTAGATAACAACAATTCATATCATTTCATAACAACATAGGTACTTACTTAAATCTTCGTCTGTACACGATGCATGATATTGTGGAAACTATTATTAATAATAATGTTACCCGTACAGTATACAGCGATCAGTAGATATCATAGACATTTAAAGAGAATCATTCATACAGATCTTATTATTCCTTATACTTATCCTTATCTTTAGATAATATGTATAGGTATATAAAAGAACAGGCCTTTTTTATGTTCCCATTTTGTGATGATACTATTTAACATTTTTCCAATTTTTTTTCACAAGGTTGTACCAAATACTCCTACAAATTATCTATTATTCACAATTTAATTTTATTCGTTATTATAGTTATTTTGAGGAAGTATTAACTACACACGGGCGTAGCCGGGTAATTCAACTAGTTATGTATATATATAGGGATACATATTTGTACGTTATTTTTAACTGATATCCTCAGAAGCGCTGAGATAAAGATACTTTTTGGTGGAGATACAGTATGTAGGTGCATTTTACTTATTATCTATAGGTACTTACTTATTATTTATTCATATAATATAGGTACCTTTATTAGTCTATACTCTATAGTTTTATATAGAAATAGTAGATACCAACTATATGAATATTAAATTTAGTAAATCTTATTTAATTACGTTTCAGGTAATACAACCTAACCAGTAATCATAAGTATTAGGATTTAGGTCCTTAAACCATAGTCGTATATATAGATTAACGGTGGCTGATAATTATACGTGTAAAAGATTTTTTTTCATATAGGATAATAAATATTTGGAATTTTCTAACTTTTTAAAGTAGGTACTATAAGTGCGTATACCTACCGTATCAAAATATAAGTTTAATACTCTTAGTTAATTGTGTACCTATATTTTTGTTGTCTTAGTGGTTTCAGCCAGTTGTGTGTTGTGTGTTGTGACTTGTGAGTATAATAAAACTATACCTACTTATATTTACCTATTATAATCAAAGTCGCTTAATAGCCGTTTTATTATTATTTGATCTATTGTTATGTAGATTATACATATAATAAATTATAGTATCTAAGTTACTTGAATAATATTATAGACTTCTTTATATTACACTATATACCATTAGGTATATTTACAATTTATATGAACGACGTGCAGTGTAGAAACCTAAGTCGGTAAGCAATATTACAACACTTACAAATTACAATAATACAATCATTATAAAAATAGAGAGTGTATCATAAAGCCGTATAATGTATAACTAAAGTTTATAGTTTTATTTAGTATAGGTACCTATCAAGCGTCTTTAGTATTTATCTATGTCGGTTTATATACCTAATTGATAACTCTGTATAGGACTGACTTGTGTGTGGTCGTAAAGATATTTATAATTTCACTGTTTGATCAGCTATATTGTCTATCGCTTATCATCAAATTATTTGAAACCTTTAAAATTTAAATGGTTTATACACTATTGACGCTTGTCACCACATTTTCCAACTTGTACATCTAACATCCAACGCGCCATTATACCACATAAATCATCATTTTTTGATAAATCATTGAAATTAAAAACATTTTCTTTAAATTTTCTCGGTACCTATTTGTATTTTAGAAAGGCGAGCAAGTAACCCCTTCTGTATATTATAGGTAATAGGTGTCGAGTGAGTCACTATAATCAGTGCAATACGAATTACGATTAACCGATGAGTACCTACTTTTTATACCTTTTTATATTTGAAGAAACACAACAGAATTGTGCACAAAAATATTTTATATTATTGACTTAAATTATAATTTAAGAAATTTACTACATTTCAGGTCTATAAATAATATTTCATTTCCAATAACTTATAAATGTGAGTATCTACCTATGACCATGTTTTTAAACGTATCATTTTAAATAATGTAAACCAGTTAACTATGAAATTAAAAACCATATTTAATCTATATAATTTGGAACATCAAACCTTATTTTTAACCAAAACGAAAACGGCATATTTATATAAAGACATTACACCTATATTGTCTATAAAAAGTTATTGCAAAAGGTAGTACACACGTGTATATTTCAATTTTTTTAAATATAATTTCGTTTTGAAAAATGGAGATTTTTCTAAATTCTTTAGCATAATAACGAGTGAATAACGTAATCTCAATAACAACAAATATTATATTTTATGATATTTCATTATTTTTGTATTTTTTCTAAGTATTTATTGTAAATTAACATTTTCTTTTAGCTTTTTTAGATAAATGTTAGTATTTTATTATTGCAAACTATATTTTTTTAAATAAAACTATTAAAATATGAAAACTCGGTAAATAAACGAATGAGATGTAATATAGAACTGCGCAGTGTGCATTATAATATGTCGTTATAGCTTGTATTAAAGATTCGTCGGTCCATAATATCGGTGGAAAAGCAGTATCGACTATATCGGAACCGGATAATATAGGTATATGTATATTGTTTATTATATAATCAACAAATTCAAAATTATTTATAGAATTATTTTCAATCAAATAAACAATTAATGTATTTTCTAAATAATTAATTGAGGATAAAAATCCATGTTCTATTATACCATACAAATAGCTAAAAATTGCATAATCTGGGTTACTCGTATTGTAATGGATGTGCTAAATTTTAATTCATTGATTTTTATTGGAGACAGTCTGTCAGTCTACATTACTAAGTATATTTCATATGATTATTTATATTGCTATTAAAGTAATTTATTTTACTGTTGGTAATGAGGTAGGTAGATTGAATTTTTTTCAAAAACATTGGGCTTATTGTATTATTTTATTTATTAGTATTTAATTATTATAATAATGTATATATTTATACCATATCACATTATAGGTATTATTATTAACAGTCAATATCATTTTAACGTAAAACGGTGTGAATATAGGTTTATGGTATAAAGCTATGAATAGAATTTTTTTTTAAATAAATCTGTATACTTAGAAAATATTATTGCATATAGAGTAAAATTCATAACATGTTAATATACGTAAAAGTTTTAAGTCAGTGGCAGATTTGAGGGGGGTGATGTAGCGATCGCCCTCCCTTTTATAAAAGGGCTTTTTTATATAGTATCTACAGCTAGAGGTGGACAACTGGTAACCTGCGAATTTTTTTTATCTGGCCCGTGCTACATTTTAAAATTATATCATACAACAAAAAAAGTTAAAAATTCATATTATTAATAAAATAAATGCTAATTATTAAAATGTATGTTTTGAATAAACTTTTTTATTTTTTGCTTTCTATGCAAAATTTTTGTTAGTAGGTACCTATATGTATATAATATATGATACCAAATCTCCCCCTCTTTAAATGAGCTTCAGATCCGCTACAATTATATTATGTTCCATGAATGTTTTTAAATTATAATTTATAAAAAAATAATACTTGACATCATTATTCGTCGTTTAAGTATGTAATTTCGTTCAAAATATAACTTCAAATGTTTATAAAAAAATAATTATATTTAATATTTTTTAATTTTCTTTTTTTTTTTTTGTTTCAGTATTAACTACTTACACGAGGAAAATTAAATTTTCAAACCATGTCTATAAAAATTGAAGATTTTATGAATTGTTTATAATAAAATACTTGTTATTTGTAAAAGTTTGTGTTTTTAACAAAATGTTATGAAAAAATTGCCTATCTATTTTTAATATTTTTGTAGGTACATTATATAAAAACAACTAATGTGAGATATTGTATTAAATTTTCAAAAATTTTTATCTAAATTTTTTTATTTATTTAAAAATGATATCGTAATATATAAAAAATAATAATATACATATACGATAAATATTTCAAATTTCTACAATTATTTGTT